TTAAATTAATAAATTTAATTATTTGACTTATTTATAATAACAATTTACAGTAGGGAAAATAAACCCGGTACTTTAGAAATGAATCCGAACCTTTAGAAAAAACTCCTAATGATTAGGGCTTCTTCCCGTTGTAATAAATTTGCACAATTTGGAAAGAACCAATCATTTTAACTCTTCGAAAAAAACTGAAACTTTACAAAATTGTCCAATCAATTCAAACTAATTTCATTTTTCTTTTTTTCAACATTTTTGTTTTTTTCTCTCTATATTTCATTGCGCCAAAACACCGTTAAATCATGGGAAATACAGATTTAAACAATTATGAAATGTTGAACATTTTATATTATAAATGTTAAATACCTTGTTTATAGAAATTGTTTTTTCATATGCATATAATCTTTTCGAATTAACAATCAACATGCAAAATAATATAATTATGACTTAAGATTTTTTTTTCATCATATCTTTAACTTTGGACTTCATGAAAATGGTATTAACAGTCCAAGTGTCTTTTAACAAATATTGTGATAGTGAATTTATAGTTATTTCATGATAATATTTTGACAACCTATGATGAAAATGAACCACTTTACATGTTTATTTTATCTACTATGACACTATATAATAATTTTATGTTGTAATACCAAATTGTTCATGTTTTAATTCCAAACAGTTTAAAATGTTATTACATTTTTTGTTTTTAAATGTTATTTTGAAAAAATAATTCTTTATAATATTAATAGTTTTGAATAGCTTTATTATATATTCAGGGTTAATAAGTAATTAACTAAATTTTTTTATTATTTAAAGAAAAAATCGAAAAAAACAATTTATTTCATACTGTTTGTTTCATTCACATCTGTTTTATTAATCTGTTGTCATCCATTAACACAATAGAAAGCAACAACCTGAGTGATACAAGACCTCTCAAGTATTATTACTATGAGAGGTGTCTATAACTGGGTTTTAAAATCCATTTAAAACAACCAAAATATGCTGCGGCTTGGGATAAGAGGTGATGATCGACGAGAAAAAGACATCCTCTTAAAATTTAAACAAATTGTTGTATTTTTTTGTTATTTGGATTTTGTTATTGGTATTTTCTTTAATGAATAATGTTATTGATAAAATGTTATTTGAATTGTGTTATTTGAATTTTTGTTATTAAAATAATGTTATTGCCTATAAAGGGTTTTGTCCCAAAAATGTATTGTTTTACCGTTTCACATTTTTTACTAAAGTTGCCCTAATTGTTCTAATGATCCTAGTTCATTTCTCCTACTGTAACATTTATTTGATAAAATGATAATAATACCATTAAGCGTAAACTATTCCAAGAACGGAACTTGTTCTTATGGGATTAATTTATTGCAGATATTGGTGAATATTATCGGGAAAATTATGCCTAATTATTTATATTTTAAATATAATTGGATGTTTTGTTGTGCTATTATTCCTAAAAATTAGTACATTTTTACCTACAAACTAAACAAAAAAATCAAGCTATTTTTAATTTATAAATGAAATTTAAATGGTATTAATTTATAGTAAATTAAACTATACTTAATAACGTGTTTTTATTCAAAAAATAGTTATATTAGGGTTCACAAAAAACAAAAATTTACACTTTTATGTTAAATAATTTGGTCAAAACTAGCCTTTTTTCTCCGTTTTAAACAACACAATTTTTACTTGTTTATTATCAATTATTTTTTTAAAAACAATTGATTTTGCACTATATTAAGATTGTTTGTTAATTTTTTTATTTTAAGGATGCACTTTTGGCAAAATGTTAAAAATTAACAGGGGACTTGCTTCACCTTGTCGTTTGGCCGACCCTGACTGAAAGTTAGTACCGCGAACCTCTATTTTGAATATTTTTTGAAAAATATTTGAAGTTTGTTTCAATGTTAACTAAAAAAAATGTGTAGATTTATTTTTTCGTTTGTTAACAATATATTATTAGAATTAAGTCCTATTATAAGTTCGTAAAGAATTTATTTTATGGAAAAAAAAGACAATATGGATTAAAAATTAAGTTTGATGAATGATTAGAACCTATTTTTGAAATAGCCACCACGATGAATTCAATCTTATTTGGTTTCATGTTGTGAAGTTAAGTGAATCAAACTTCAACTTGGCTAAAACAAAAGAAACAATTTAACAAATGAATTTCTTTATTCCAAACAACAGTGGTTTTTATTTTGATAATTCTAATCAGTTGTAATTCAATCAATAATTTCACCTTAACAAATAAAATAAAACGTATTCGATTCTGGAAAGTTAATTGCAATTTTTATTGAACTTTGTTGATAACCCTTTGAAAAATAACACTTATTTCTTAAATCAATAATTCTACACTAAAAATTACTGTTTACTTATTAAATAGAATTGATAAAAAAAGAAATTGATATTTCTTTCTTTATCAATTGATTTGATAAATATCAAAGAAATATCAAACATTTCTTTGATATTTCAAAGAAATGTCTTTGAAATACATCAAAATCTATTTTAAGAAATTTCTAATTACTTTTTTAAAGAAATTGAATTTTATTGCAATAAAAACACAACTCAATTTATTCATTTCAATGGCAGCGAACTTCAAACGAACTCCAATCCCCATCAGGGATGCAAAGGAACGTATTCAAGACTTTAAAGAGGTCGTTCTTGGATACTCCAAAAGTGATAGTATCGAAGAAGCATCGCGGTGTATCGACTGTAAAAAGCCCCTCTGTGTTCCTTCATGTCCTGCTGGTATAAATATTCCAGGCTTTATTACTGAAATTAAAAAGGAGAATTACACTGAGTCCTTAAGAATAATATTAGAGAATATGCCTCTAACAAACATATGTGGACGAGTGTGTACTCGTCAATGTGAAGACACATGCATTAAAAATCGAAAAGGTGGGAGTTTAGAAATCATGGAACTCAAACGGTCTGCAAGTACTTATTGTAATGAAGAAGACATTGACATTAAATGTGCCCCAGACACAGGAAAGAAGGTAGCAGTAATAGGATCAGGACCTGCTGGGTTATCAGCTGCTTACTTTTTACGTTTGAAAGGTCACAAAGTAGTTGTATATGAACAGAAGCATAAAGTT